CCTCAAAATCAAAAGGGGTCATCTACTAGTGTACAAAGTCTGATGTCTGTCAAGAAACGGATTCTCAAAACACTTTCCTATGTCAAATTTAACACTTCACCTTGTGACCTAAGAATCAATAGGCCAAGTTTGATGGCTGTCAAGCAAAGGGTTCTTAAGATATTGATCGAACAACACGTGCATGGTCTATGGACCAATATGTCTACTTTTTTCAAAAGGAGCCGGGGAAAAAATTGTAATCTTTATTTCTTTTTACATTTACCGATCCCGGAGGCTTGCTAAATCATCATATTGACATAAAAATCGGCAACAATTGTTTTATTTTAGGATTCAGTTATAAATGAATGATACGAACATGATTAGCAAACCATCTTCTTGATAATTTAAGACTACTGTCATGAATCAAAGGTTTAGCCTTTGGAATTCTTTGGTCACTCAGTCAGAGACTATCAAACCAAATAAACAAAGAAAACAATGAAAATGTATACAATGAAAAAAAAAATTAAAGAGAGCCGATTCTTAAAGTTCTTTTGATTTTTTTTCAGCAGAAAAATTCGAGGTAACCAGTATCTCAATATAAAAACTAGAAGTCTCTGGTGAAACTGGAGCTCTACTGGTTTTTATTTATAACAAAGGAAGAGAGAAGTAGCACATGCACTTGAAACTATACAACAGCTTATATTGTATCATTGCTGCGGGTTTTTCCTTTGATGTCCACTGTGTTTTTATTTTTGATACACCATGACTAACTGTGCCCTAACAACCATGCTCTATCAAGATAGAACACAAAAGGGTAATGATGCAACAATTCCAATGACCCTTGACCTTACATTTATAAGAAAAAGAATATAAACAAAGTAGCTGATTTTATGAGCAAAATACAAGCACATATAAACATAGTGAAGGTATACCTTTCCTTAGGTCTACATAAAAAATTCTAAATTTTGCACGTCAATTTTTTTAAAATCCAAAACGAAATTCACACAAGCACATTTTTATAAATGAATGTTTTCGTCTCTCATAAACTTGAAGCGTAACAAACCACACACAATGTAGTACAGGGAGCGAGGTGGATATTCCTTGTTTTCTAATTCCAACACAAATCGCTGCATCCAGTAATTTAGAGAACCGCTGTTTATCTCGGTCAAAAGTGGACATTTTCCCGTGCCGCACGCCACTCCTTAGCTTGAACGTTACGAGGCTATTTTTTGAGAGACTTTCAAACGCTGAATTGTACAAACCTTTCATTTTTCGTCTTCGTGTCGACCTCGGGACTGGTGAAATTAACACCATCGTGTCTAAAATATCTCCTATATCGAAATCCATAATAGGTTCAATTTTTAGTTCCGGTAGATCAAACGTAATACTTCCCAAAGAATCTTCAACCTAACTGATCAAAGGAATTTTCCTTCATAATTTCGGTTTCCGTGTCTATAAGAATTGCGTAAGCATAAAATCTCAACCGTCATCCATGGCGTTCAGAATATGAATGGACGAGGTATAAAGTTCAAGAAATAAAGCGAGCTAATCTTTTCGAATCACGTGCTTTTTTTTCATTGGTTATATAATATGGTATGATGAAATTTTGATAGATCATGGCTAATTCAGTGCATGAGATTATGTAGTTGAATTAAGTGCTATTAACGTCAATTTGATAGATCATGGGTAGCTCAATACCTGAGAACAATGATACAAAACATATAATTAGAGTACCTTTTAACTCGTGCATCTTCAGATATCAGACTCGGGGGACAAGCCCCCTTGTCTGATATCTGAAGATACACTCGTTAAAAGGTACTCTATATATTACATAATAATGGTCCTTGGTTTAGTCTCTTTAATTGTGGCAAGATTTATTGCAATCAGATTAAAGCTGTTGGAGGAGTAGCCTTTTGAAAGAATTTCACCAAAATTTCAATTTTTAGTAACCATGGCAAGACCCTTCATCAAAATAAAAAAAAAAAAACTGAAATAAAATTATGTATCTTAGTGTAGTGTACTTGTGTGCAAGGTTATATTGAAATCAGACCGAATTGTGGGAGGAGTAGCATTTTCGAAGTATTTCACAGAAATTTCTGATTTGAGTATACATGGCTACACCATTATTCCAAATCAAAAAAGAGATACACAGAATCATTTTTCGGAGTTTGAAATCTTGTGTACAAGTTATATTCACATCAGATCAAAACTGTAGGAGAAGTAGCGTTTTGAAAGTATTTCACAAATATTTCTATTTTTAGTAACCATGGCAACAACGCTCACAGAAAAAAAACCCCAAAATTGATAAAAAGAATTATGTCTCTCAGTGTAGTCTAGTTAGAGGATCAAACAGAGACGTCACAACTTTACATCTCTCTTCACGATTTGCATCAAAAACATTTTTCTTGAAGACCACCATTTCTACGGTAAGTGTCAATGATATCAACACTTGATCAACACTTGATTTGGTGAAGGAGCACAGCAATCCTTTATTAATGAGGATCTTGCTAATGAGGTGGACGAGGAAAACACTAGCGATAAGTCTCTCTACCCTTGGAAATTCCGCACTTTGATACAGCGTCTATTTTTATCTATATTGTTCATGCTGACTCAAAAGAGAGGGTTCCTATAGAAGTTTTTCAAACTTGCACACCCCTTTTTGGATGGTAACGATAATAGATATCCTACATCGTTGTTGATTGGTGCTTATACATGTAACTGGAATGTTGATTAGGGGAGAGGACCAACAGCTATCAAATCAAAAGTAGACTATCTTGTATAGGGACCTGTCAAAGTACCAAACAAAGGAAACACAAGCAGTGGATCACTTGTACAATGTCTTAGCATCCCATGTTTCCGTGAATAAAGCACTCAAGTGCTTTTGGAATCACGAAAGTAAAATATTCCAGCTTTCACAATATCAAAACCAGGAAGGAAACATCGAATTGCGTTATTTTGACTACAACAAATATTCTTCTTCTTCCCTTTGTGGAGTGTACTCAAATTGAGTGTCAATACTCCAATAATTCTGTGGTGAACAGTTAAAAACCTATGTACATGTACATTTAAAAGAAGTTAAAAGTGGAAAGTTGTGGTATTAAATCTCGGACCCGCTGATGGGCTGTTAGCGTGTCTGAAGATGTCCATTGATGGTGAATTCCTAATTGTGGCTGGTATATTGTTCCATGCTATAATAGTTGCTGGAATAAATGAATACATGTAGATATCAACCTGGTGCTTGCGCCATGATAGGTTTTTGTTAATTGTGATTCAAAGGTATTTACCACTTAGGACATCTTCCATATTACGCCAAGCTACCTTGGAAACCGAAACATACTGAATTACCAACTTTCAACACTAGTCAGTAGAACAGAGAACACATGTAACAGACTCGAGCGTAAACAAGAGTTCTTTCAGAAAAATGGAAAGATAATTTCAAAAAGAAAAAAAAATGATTTATTAAGAAGATACAAGACGAGCTAGGACAGTATGTCAACAAATGGATAGTACATACCACGTCAATACGTACATAATGATTCAGTCACCCACCTTTACTGTGTATGATTTCAGCTGTCGAGCATTGCCTAATCTTTCTAGCTTGAACAATTGTTTGAAATCGAGGCATCCAATTCTGAATAATTTAACTTCCATTCTTACAAGATTCCTCTACCATGAAATTGCAGTGAAAACTGACATATATAAAAAGGATTTTACAGGTTGGGCTAAATGTAGATAATCGGGATTTTACAAGCTTTCTTTGGCTAAAGGATCCCAATGACCCCATTAGTCCATTAATACCCAACCGCTCTAAAAAATGTGCCTTTTGGAGCAGCCTGTTCTACATTTGCATGTATTGTAATTGCAACCATTTTAAAACACCTAAAAAACAACAAATGCTGTACTTAGATACCAATGAGATGGATTTGTATGTGGACAGTGTAGTGTCTAATTTTAGAAGTAAAGAGGAGACTTTGAGATATTTTCAATTACCTAAGGAACTGATGGCTATTACCGGAATGAAATTGCAATCCTGGGCATCAAATACTGAGCCACTACCTAGAGAAGCTAGCAGTGAAGGACTACTGAAACGAGGTCTCAAAAGTTCCCGGTCTACACTGGAATTCTACTACAGACAAACTTTAACTCACAAAATGAGATATGCCAGTCCTGGATAATATATATCCAGGACTGGCATATCTCAATATGTATGTAAAATATACTGAAACATGCTGCCCTACACTGCACGGCCATTGAGAATGGAAGTGAGATACAGTTATTTGGACATTAGTTTTATCAGAGGATCCTCAGAAACTTAAGTTTGATTAGGCGGTATAGCTATAAAAAATGGATTCATGGTATCGAAAACTTACTAATCAAAATGATGAATGTGATCTAAAAAGTTTTCTTGCGATAAGAACGCTTCGTTGCAGGCTTTGAAGATTGCATACTTCAATAATTCCGAATGCACTGTGCTTGAATGAACAAACTGAATCGATTTTTTTAAAGCGCTTTTAGGTAAGTAAAGGAATGAGATCCACAATAAATGGATAAAACTGAATCAATTTGAGTGACATCAAAAGGTAAGCAAAATTTAATTGTTTGTTTTAATAGTAAAAGTAGCGAATTTTTAAGCCCTATTTCTTCCTCAATGATCAGAATCAACTCGATTACACTTTGCACTAGAATTTAAAACAAAGAAGAAAATACATAAAAGCATTCAAAATCCTTTGCTAAACTCTTGAAAAGAAGATTATTGATTTGTGTCGTTTGCCATCTATTCTACATTTGTATCTGTAGATACATTCAATATATGACATGCATTGATTTATTTATTCTTATTTGTTTTCATAAGTTATCTTCCTCGTTCTTAGTTACTTACAGTAAAGATAAAAATCATACGTACATGTCATGTTTTCTGGAAAATGTTTTTTTAACGCAGTTTATCGGATTCGTTCTCTTCCAGACATTTGGCCAGCTCTGGAAATTTAATGTTATCAAATTGTATTTACAACACGTACAAAGTAAACATAAACTGTCTACTCTTGTCCTTCACCTGAGAGGCTAATCAACTTGGTCAAGAAAAACAGTTTCATGGTCAACACTGATCACCCATATCCTGTAAGTCCTTTATAATATGTTGGAGTTCCTCTTAATTGGATGTCTCATATTTCTTTCCGTGTACTGTGCCATTCAATGGATTATTCGTTCATCGAGAAAAGTTCTACGAGGGCCGAAGGGCTGGCCCGTCATTGGTGTACTTTTTGAGTTTGATCTTTTGACTTTACATTTCAAACTCTTTGAATGGACTATAATTTATGGAGACTTTTTTGAATTTGAATTATTGGGCAAGAAATTTGTGAGTCTGAATTCCTCTGAAATTGTTAGAGAGACCTTTAACAAAGAACCAAATGCAAGCATCACTGCTGCTCGACCATCAACCTTTTTTGGGAAATATCTTTTTGATAATTATTCAGATCTTGAATTTGCTTCACCGGATTCAGCATGGACCAAACGTAGAAAACTAGCCTTTCAATTGATCAGATCTTATGGAGATGGATTATTCTGCATTGAATATCAAATCAAGAAAGAGCTTCGATCAGTAACGGAGGAAATCCGAAACCTGGATAACAAAAACGTCGATCCATCTGACAAAGCTGAAGAGTTCACACTAAATACATTGGAAGTTATGGTAAGATTCAAATATTGAAAATTTGTCACTTATTTTCTAAAAATATTTTTTTGATATATTTTAATGTATAAAATAGATCATTGGACGAAGTTCTGGAAAAAATGGAGAATTGCACAAGGTTTTAAGGAAACTTGACTCTCTTATAAACGCAACAGCCAACCAAGGAATTGATGTCGTGTACAGTTTCTTTCCATTTCTTCGTTTTCTTCCTCTGAGAATGTCATTGATGTTTAAAGAGGTGCACAAGACAAAACAACGTATGCTGGACAATCTGGAATTATTGTCGGTAATATATTTTGATATTTTTTTGGTGGATTTCGACATATACATTTGTATATAGAGAGCCAACGACACAGCATATCCTATTGTGTCGGATCTACTGAATAGACACTAGGTCACATAACAGCTCCCAACCAAAATTAAAGAAAAAATATTTTAAAAGGAAAAAAGAGTTTAAAAACAAATACATTATAGGTATTAAATTTTGCACTTGTTAAACAACAATTAAACAACAATTAACATCCACTTACTTAAAAAAAAGTTCTTGACACATATTTTAGAAATTTACTACATATAGTATAGGACACTTTTACAGAAAGAGGATACCAAAGTAAAGGGAATTTACCACAGTCTAATTGATGTCATAAATCAGAGGGATGAGAATGGAAAACAGTGGTTTACAGAAGAAAATTTATCCAATCTTCTCACGAATCTTGTCGTTGCTGGTAATTATAATTTCACCAATCTGCATAAGAAAGGTGATCAGTTTCATATTATCTATCTATAGCTATTCCATAGTCAAAACAGTGCGATAACATTCTTGCATATATCTTTAGTTTTAGAAATTGCAAATAAACCGAAATCTCTAATAGAATGAAGATCTGCTTGTTTGCACATATAATAAAAGAACAAAAATAGTGCCTAGACAGGAAAATATTTCATTTTTAGCCATAATAATGTTTATTGTTACTTTGCAAACTTGTTTGGTTGAGATCAATCAAAACTGTTGGAAGCATAGGATTTTGAAAGACATTTACGTGGTCTTTTAGTAGCTAAAGCAGCATCATATGAATAAAGTTATGATCTTTGATATAGTATACAATCATATGTACCAAATTTTATTGAAATCAGACCCAAATTATTTGTGAAGCTTTTAATAAGAATTCCATACACTATTCATTTTAAGTAATATATGGAGATAACGAACAGTATCCAAGCTCAAAAGTGCATTAAACAATACAAAATAGGAGCAGAGCAAACACGGACCTCCAAAACATCAGAGGTGGGATCAGGTAACCAAAGGAATATTGTTCATTGAAATTTAAAACCAATGTAATGCATTTTGTGTCTTGGTGTAATAAAACCTGTGTAGCAAAGGATCACTTCTAGGTGAATATATGTGTTGACCTATAGGGCCGATATTGGTTTCAGTCTTTAGAAAAAGCTTATTGATAACCGTTCCGGTCGCTGACTTTAGGGCACATGCGTGTAGTTTCTTGTTTCTCATGCATCGCTTTAGTTGAAGTCAACTGTGTGTTCATATGACCATGCCTCGGTATTTACAGATACATCCTTTGTATGAGGGTCCTTACTTGATGTCTGGGTAATGACAACGGGACATAAAACCTTTACTGACCTTACCACATTCTTTTCTAATCTGTAAACCTCCCTCCTGCATTTTTGGCATAACATGTCGCCAATGCACACAATTTTCCCGAAGAATGAACTGCATCTACTCTGCATAGCGCAGTATCTCTCCCACTGGCACAACAGTACTATTACCCAGAGATGTTCTTGAAAGACAAACGCAGCAATTTTTGCTCGCCATGATTTTTTTTCGTGACACCTGCAGTATCGAGTAACAGAAAGTGAATGATTTATGTCCTCGAACAAAGTGTGCTTACACTGAGGTATAGTTCCGGTTGACTGCGTTCAGTTAAAGAGATTTTATGATCTGTATTTTCATAAATGTATTTTATATCAACAGCAAATAGAAGTAAAATGCAAAAACCTGTAAAAAAAATATTAATTTCGTATTTATACAGTTAAAAATTTGAAAAAAAAATAAAAGTATGTCAACAGGTGGATTCGAACCAGGACACTAAAAATGTTCATGGTGAGAGTCTGCGGTCTATCTTTCTGAGCTATACTGACTAAAAATACATATGTCATAGACAGGGATGGGCACGATTAATGAAAAATGTAATTGATTAATAATCGATTACTTAGAGGAATTTTGTGTAATCGATTATTAATCGATTACACTCATTTTTGTCCTGTAATCGGTTGTAACCGATTACTTTGGAAGGTGTAATCGATTAATAATCGATTACTTCCAAGTTTTTATCCCTTCAAATATCAAAGCAATATTTAAATGGTAAATGTCGATGTTTAATCACTGAAGTTTGAATGTGTTCCTGCAGTTTCAGTGCAGATTTTTTTAAAGGTTTTATTGTGGTTTAATTTCATATTTTAGACCTAACATTTTCACTAAATGCCCAAATGAGGGATTCTCTACCATGGAAAGTGGATACATGATTCCTACAAAAAAATGTGCCAAAGAATTAATTATTCCTTTCAACCTTGAATCTAAACCTCCATATTTATTGACTTGTTGCAAAAATTATTTAATATTTTATTGTGAATTACTTCATTAGAAGTATTTGGGCTGCCTGTATGTTGACAGTACACATGAAACATTCCTGTACCTGTCTTCTTCAAAAAAATAAGTAAATTAGAACAAACTCTTAGTAATAAACATGTAAATTAAATGTGTCTTTAAGTAATTTAACTACTAGCACAATTCATTCTGTATTGAAATAAGTGTTTTGAGAGCTATTGATTCTTTTAATAATATTGTTTGTCTTCAATGGAATGAAAATTAAACACTAGGTAGTTCACAGTTTACACCTCATTATCTGCAAATCGACACACTCCCTCTCTTACAGACACTTATAACCTCTCACTGATATAAAAGCAACCTTACAATTTTGAATGAAAACATGAGAATGATTTTGCAAATTTTAAAGTTACTAAAACACAAGTTTGAAGTTGTTTAAACATTTTCAGATATGAATAAGTATTTCCAACTTCTTTTTTTCCGAGTACAATGTAGTTTATTTACCAAATTATTTATATTTTTGCTATTTATAATTTTCTATTACAAGACAAAGTTTTTCAACATCTGAAATATGAAAAAGGTCATGCAGCAAGAGGAAAGTGGGTCAAATGTAAAATGCACACAAAAAATCGGTATATTTTATTAATAAAAGAAATAAATTCATGCTTTAGAGTCCAGAAATAGGCGCTGAAGTGGGTTGGGGTATTTTTTCTAAGACGAGAGCTTTCGTCCCTTGTAGAGTTCATGTACATAGGTGTGGTACGTCTTTTTTAAACGTGGTTTTTCTTGACTGAAATGTCAGAATCTCTAGTTTATCAACTTTTAAGTGTATTTATAGAAGATTCAAATTTTTTAAAATTTATTTTTGTAGAGTTTATGTATATACATGTAGGTGTGGTACGTCTTTTTTAAACGTGGTTTTTCTTGACTGAAAGTGTCAGAATCTCTATTTTATCAACTTTTAAGTGTATTTAAAGAAGATTCAGATTTTTTGAAATTTATCTTATATTTAACAATCCGGAAGACAAGGCCCTATGGGTGTGGTACGTCTTTTTTAAACGTGGTTTTTCTTGACTGAAAGTGTCAGAATCTCTATTTTATCAACTTTTAAGTGTACTTAAAAGAAGATTCAAATTATTTAAAATTTATTTTATATTTAACAATCCGGAAGACAAGCCCCTATGGCAAAAATTAGTGCCTTAATGGACAAAATACTGTTTTGATCAACTTTGGAGGTTAATATCAAAGTTGCAAATAAATAAATTTAGGTTCAAAATGCAAATTTGAAAAATGTAGACAAATATACGATAGAAAACAACTGAAGAACATTGATTTTTAAATGAGACTTTTTCCGGAAATTGTTCTCTCCTGTAGGTCAAATCTTTTGTTATAACGAATACATCCTTTTATATAAGCATAGTATTTTTGAAAGAAATTCATAGAAATTTTATTTAAGTAATCATGTCAACACTGTTTGTCGAAATCAATAATCGAAACACCTGATTAAATATCTTCGTGTGGTCAACTTGTGTACAAAGTTAAACTGAGATTTGATAAAGTGTGTAATTTTTGTAACAAGGTGTAATATTTTGCTGTCAATGACAATCTACGTAGACATTGATAAGTAAAAAATCTGCAATCAATTTTTTAAATTGATTTAGTGTTTGCTACAAAATTAATATATATTGGGGAATTCTTATCAAACTACATGTATATGTAGTCTATCAATAAATTAGATTCTCATTTTCTGCTCTTTTTTTTATTATAAAAAAGGTTTTCTGACAACAAGAGGGACCATTTTATCCTTGATTCAACTTCTAGCGAAGAGACCAGATCTCCAGAAGGCTTTACAAAAAGAAATAGACAGAACGGTTGGTCCTGATAGAGAACCATGCCTCGCCGACAGGGAGAAATGTTACTTAACTGAGGCTGTTGTCATAGAAACATTTCGTTATATTTCTCATGTTCCTCTGTCCTTACTCCATGCTACGTCACAACCGACTACTATAGGGGGTTATAATATTGATAAGAACACAGTAGTAAGCTAAAATTTTAATCAGATACTTTTCTTTTAATTATTTTTTGGCTTTCAAATCTTGGTGATATGCACAAAGTATTATTTGTTCCATGCAGATTGTACCAAACCTTTGGACAATTCACCATAGTGAAAAAGAGTGGGAGGAACCATTCAAGTTTAAACCAGAACGCTTTCTGGACGCTGATGGCTTTTTGCTGCCTTCGAATGACCCCATCAAAAAAAGGTATTATTATCAATTCACTGTGATAGCAAAATATGCATGGGAATTTGTTCTTTGGCATTTCTTAAATATCAAATAAAGATACATATTATTTTAGAGTCATTGCTTTTGGAATTGGAAAGAGAAGTTGTATCGGCGAAGTGTTTGCAAGATCACGCATATTTTTATTTCTGGCGACTTTGATGCAACAGGCAACGATTGTCGAGCCCAAAGGGAAATCTCTAGAAGATCTTTTACCTCGAGAAATGGTTCCTGGCATAAGTCTCCAACCAAAAGCTTATGAAGTTCGATTTGTTCTCAGGTCGAATTAAAAGTCATCACAGATATATAGCGTACTACCCATTTTGAAATTTTGAGCGAATGTCGATGACATTTTCCTCTAAACTACATCTTAATAGTCTGCAGCTTAAAGATGATGAACTTTTTTCATACAAATCGGGAGGAGAGCAAACACTGACCTCTAAAAACATCAGAGGTGGGATCAGGTGCCATGGAGGAACAAACATCCCCTGTCGACCGGTCACACTCGCCGTGTGCTGTTAATTATAAAGAGCAACAACGACAACAAATATTAAGAAAGTATTAAGTCACAGATAAGGACAAATATATATATATATATATATATATATATATATATATATATATATATATATATATATATATATATATATATATATATATATTAGGGATGTCAAATCGGTCACTTTTTGATAATCAGTTACTCGGACATTTTTCCGATCGAGTACCCGGGTACTCGGTAAAAATGTAAATACAAGTTTGTTTATTTTTAATATTGTTAATTTGTTAAACCCTAAAGCTGTTTTTATCACGTTTTATGAATGTACACAAACATGGAGTCCAATGGATATGATTTTTAGTACTAAGTTTATTTATTAAATAAACACAAATGACGCAATTAATACATCAAAAATTACAAATGGTTTACCAAAGGAGGACAATCTGTTACTCAGGTTTGTGATGATTAGACAAGCGAAAGAGAAGGATCGGACGTTGATTGGATCGCTAGTCTAATATTTTTTCATATGTTGGTTGTTTCCCCCGTATACACTTGACTTACTATGGAAACTGACTTAAAACATTTTTTAGAATCTTTACCAATTTTAAAGTGGGTAGGACTTCCGGTGTGGCTGCGCAAATGGCGTGAAGTGAGAAGGAGCAGAGGGTCGTTTTTTCTGTTTTCCTAAGTGAACATTAATATTTGATACGAGGCATTGCAGATAGTTTTCTTAATTACGTGAAGACATTCGTGTTTTAGGTGAATTTCAGGTATTTTCCTCTTTGTTAAATGCAACAGACTGTAAGTCACTACTTTGCACAAGGAAATTCGGGAAGCTCGTGCAAGATGCCGAAGAGAAAAGATACGGAGAAGGAGAGTGCGCAAAATGATGAGGTGTCAAATAAAGAGTTAAAGGAACTTTTCTCTAATCTAATACAGAAGTTGGAGAGTTCAATGAACGAGAAGCTTACTGCGCTTGACAAAAAAGTTGAGGAAACGCTGATCGTTATTAAGGAGGAGATAACTGATATGAAAACAGCGCTTCAAAACCAAGATGACCGATTAACTGATTTAGAAAAGCTAAACACAGAGGTTATACAACCTCAAAGTAAAAAGGTAAGCCTTCTTGAGGCTTCTTTAAAAGAACTGCAAGATCATATTACATACCAAGAGTTAAGATCTCGGAAATACAACCTCTTATTTTATGGCATTCCTAAAGCAGAGAATGAAGTTTCAAACGAGGTTATTGTGAACTTTTTGAGTGAAAAATTGGGCATGTCAACAGCAGAGTCTATAATGATTAAAAACTCTCATAGGGTTCCAAAAAACCCCAACAGCAGTTACAAACCTGGAGCACCAGAAGCAGTCATTGTTAAATTCGTTCTTATGGAGGACCGTAATATGATACTAAATCATGCCAGAAACACTACCCTACCGAAAGGCTATGCAATACGAACAGATCTACCCGTGCATTTGAAGAGAAAGAGGGCAGAACTGGCTCAAAAGGCATATGAACTCAGGAAATCAGGAATGAAGACGAGAATCCGTGAAACGAGGGACGATGTGATTCTGGAGTATCGACAAAAAGGATCTAGATAAGAACAAGATTATTTGCAGGAGATGACAGGTTGTAGGAGTATGATATGGTGAAGGTTTTGTATATCTGTAAAGTGCTGAGTTATGCTACAGTTGGTATCGTGTTGTTTACTTGTCAAATAATAAGTATGTTTTAGATGCTATTAGAAAGATATACTAAGGTATGCTGCAGATGTTTAAAAGTAAAATACCAGTGTTTTGAGCTTTGGATGATATCTGTAAAATTCAGAGTTATGCCTTAGTTGTTAATAACTTGTAAAATGTTGAGAATTTTTGGTATCGTTATCTGTGAACTACTGTGTTATGTCATAGTTGATAACTTGTAACATATCTACATGTAGTATGTCTCAGGATATATATTTGTTTGGCAGCTTATGGTTTGCTGTATAAATTACATGGGGACATATTGGTTTTTTCTTTTTAATGTAATAAATACCTAAATTTCAACAAAGATTACAAAGATTACTGGTAGAAGTTCATAGAGGAGCTTGTATTTATTATTATTTTTTTTATGAGAGAACTACGGTTCACTATCTTATTTAGGTGGCTAAGTTAAATTAAAAAGACCCAATGCGATGTAATACATGAATTTTCTTGATTTGTTTTGTTACCATACAGGAAGTATTTTTCATTTTTGATATATGTGTGAAAGAATGGAGAGTATGCAACATGCATATTTTTTTGCCTTTATTCAACTGTGTAGTGTAATCTATGACTAAGTTAAAAATTACTTCTGTAAACTGCAGAGGTTTACATGATTCTATGAAAAGAAAGGATGTCCTAAACTATTTAAGAAATTTTAAATCATCTATTTATTGTTTACAAGACACCCACTGTACAGAATTAGAGAAAAATTCAGTTTATGCCCAATGGGGTAATGACATACTCATCAGCTCAGGAAAATCAGATGCAAGAGGGACTTTAACCCTTTTTAATAACACAAATGAAATAAAAATTTCTAAAGTTTATAGTGATAATGAGGGGAATTTCATTATATCAAATATAATGGTGGATAACAAGTACTCAATCACTTTGGTTAATTTATATGGTCACAATAAAGATAATCCTAAATTTTATGCAGAAATAAGTGATACTAGATCCGATCTCGTTGCGAGCAACGAGTGGGTCTTCCGTCCGATTTCGATGAGATGTGATTTTGATTGCTAAAACAAGGACTATCTCTGTATTTTGAAAGATGGAGAACATCAAACAATGTGTTTTGATATCACTCAAAGGTCAAATAGAGTGAAATTTAAACGATTTAAATTTTTCAAAAAATTTAAATTGAATTCAAATCTTAAAACAAAGACCATCTCTGTATTTTGAAAGACAGAGAACATCATAGAATGTGTTTTGAAATCTCTCAAAGGTCAAATAGACTGAGATTTAAACGATTTAAATTTTTCAAAAAATTTAAATTAAATCCATATGTTAAAACAAGGACTATTTCTGTATTTTGGGAGATGGACAACATAATACAATGTGTTTTGAAAGCACTCAAAGGTCAAATAGGGTGAGATTCAAACGATTTAAATTTTTCAAAAAATTAAATTGAATTCAAATGGTATAATCAAGGACTATGTTTACATTTTGAAAGATGGAGAACATCATGCAATGTGGTTTGAAATCTCTCAAAGGTCAAATAGAGTGGAATTTAAACGATTTAAATTTTTCAAAAAATTTAAATTGAATCCAAATGTTAAAAAAGGACTATCTTTGTATTTTGCAAGATGGAGAACATCATACAATGTGGTTTGAAATCTCTCAAAGGTCAAATAGAGTGAGATTTAAACGATTTAAATTTTTCAAAAAATTTAAATTGCTTCCAAATGTTAAAACAAAGACTATCTCTGTATTTTGAAAGATGGAGAACATCATACAATGTATTTTGAAATCTTTTAAAGGTCAAATAGAGTGGGATTTAAACGATTTAAAATTTTCAAAAAAATCAAATTGAATTCAAATCTTAAAACAAAGACCATCTCTGTATTTTGAAAGACAGAGAACATCATAGAATGTGTTTTGAAATTACTGAAAGGTCAAATAGAGTGAGATTTAAACGATTTAAATTTTTCAAAAAATTTAAATTAAATCCAGATGTTAAAACAAGGACTATCTCTGTATTTTGAAAGATGGAGAACATCATACAATGTGTTTTGAAATCTCTCAAAGGTCAAATAGAAAGAAATTTAAACGATTTAAATTTTTTCAAAAATTTAAATTGAATCCAAACGTTAAATCAAGGACTATCTCTGTATTTTGAAGGATAGAGAACATCATACAGTGTGTTTTGAAATCTCTCAAAGGTCAATTAGAGTGAGATTTAAACGATTTAAATTTTTCAAAAAATTTAAATTGCTTCCATATGTTAAAACAAGAACTATTTCTGTATTTTGAGAGACGGAGAACATCATACAATGTGTTTTGAAATCACTCAAAGGTTAAATAGAGTGAAATTTAAACGATTTAAATTTTTCAAAAAGTTTAAATTAAATCCAAATGTTAAAACAAGGACTATCTCTGTATTTTGGAAGATGGAGAACATCATATAATGTGTTTTGAAATCTTTCAAAGGTTAAATAGAGTGAGATTTAAACGATTTAAATTTTTAAAAAAATTTAAATTGAATCCAAATGTTAAAGCAAGGACTATCTCTGTATTTTGAAAGATGGAGAACACCATACAATGTGTTTTGAAACCTCTCAAAGGTCAATTAGAGTGAGATTTAAACGATGTAATTTTTTCAAAAAATTTAAATTGCACTGAAATATTAAACAAAAGTCAACTTACATATTTTGAAGGAAGAGAACATCATTTGTTGCGTTTTTTATGTTTGAGGAAGCAATTTGAATTTTTTGAAAAATTTAAATCGTTAAATTTCACCCTATTTGACCTTTGAGAGATTTTAAAACACATTGTATGATGTTCTCCATCTTTCAAAATACAGAGATAGTCCTTGTTTTAACGTTTGGATTCAATTTAAATTTTTTGAAAAATTTAAATCGTTGAAATCTCAGTCTATTTGACCTTTGAGAGATTTCAAAACACATTGTATGATGTTCTCCATCTTCCAAAATACAGAGATAGTCCTTGTTTTAACGTTTGGATTCAATTTAAATTTTTTGAAAAATTTAAATCGTTTAAATCTCAGTCTATTTGACCTTTGAGAGATTTCAAAACACATTGTATGATGTTCTCCATCTTTCAAAATACAGAGATAGTCCTTGTTTTAACGTTTGGATTCAATTTAAATTTTTTGAAAAATTTAAATTGTTTAAATTTCAGTCTTTTTGACCTTTGAGAGATTTCAAAACACATTGTTTGATGTTTTACATCTTTCAAAATACAGAGACAGTCCTTGTTTTAACATTTGGATTCAGTTTAAATTTTTTGAAAAAAATTAAATCGATAAAATTTTACTTTCTTTGACCTTTGAGAGATTTCACCTCATTGTATGATGTTCTCCATCTTTGGAAGCAGTTTTGAATTTTTTTAAAAAATTTAAATCGTTTAAATTTCACTCTTTTTGACCTCCAATAGACTCCAAATCACTCTCATTCATGTTCTCATTATTTTAGATGTCCTTGATTTCATATTTTAAGGCTTTTAAATTATTCCAAATTTGAAAATTTTTGAAGTTTTAAATGCTGTAATAAAAATTCATCAAGTAGGAGCTTACAGCTTTCAACATTAGAGGATATATCAAAATCTTACAATTTTAAAGGTTTTAAAATTTGAAATTACAGTATTCAAAACTTTCAATGATTTAAATTGAATACACAAATTTTCATAATCACAGGTACATTATGAAATCACTATTTCAGACTTAATTGAATGTCATTGCTTTCTTCTAGGTCACTGTGTATTAAACGTCGCTGAAGAAAATCGATAACTTATACATGGGCCGTCAAAATTCTCTAACACACCTGAGCTCATATTTTCTTTAAAATTGCACCTAAAATCAAAACAAATATACTGTAAGAAAGGTCACAGGAAGACCTATCAGACGGTGTAAAAAGTTTTAAAATCGGTCAAGAAATAAAAGAGTAAAGATTTTTTAAAAATAAAAGGATATCCGCCAAAGATGAAAGAGTACGGTCATCCACAAGTGTCCTTGATAATGAGTTTGACATGTCCTGTCAAAAAAAAAAGCTAACATACCTGAGCTCATATTTTCTTTATTAGTGCATTTACAAACAAAAGAAATACATTGTTGGAAAGGTCTCATAAAGATCTATTTGATGGTGTATAAAGTTCTAAAATCGGTCAAGAAATAAAAGAGTAATGCTTTTTAAAAGAAATCAAAGGATATCTGCCAAAGATCAAAGAGTATGGTCATACGCAAGTGTCCTTGACAATGATTTTGACATGTCCTGTCAAAACAAAAGGCTAACTTACCTGAGCTCATATTTTCTTTATTAGTGCACTTACAATAAAACCAAATATACTGTTGGAAAGGTCTCGTAAATATCTATTTGACGGTGTAAAAAGTTTTAAAATCGGTCAAGAAATAAAAGAGTAATGATTTTTTAAAGAAAAGTTCTTAAAGTACACTTGCACTCAAGTGACCTAACACACCTGAGCTTACATATTGTTTATTAATGTACTCACATGCAAAACAAATACATTTTTGGAAAGTTCTCGCCAAGATCTATTTTACAATATAAAAAATTTCAAAATTCGATTAAAAATTTTTTTTTGAAAAATTTAACTTTAAAATTTGAAAAATTTAAACATCTTCTTAAAATTTCAAAAGTCAGGTGCACATGTCAAGGTCACAATTCTATCATTCCTGAAAATTTCAAATTTCTATTTTGCGCAGTTTCTTCGGAGTAGGACAGACCGGAATTGCAGAAAAACGTCAAAAATACGTCATATTTCGCGACCGGAAGTGAAATCATCAAAAATGAAAAAAACGTCCCGAGGGAACATCGTTCCCTATCATCTCCGAAAGTTTCATAAAAATCCACCGAACCGTTACTGAGATACCGGTGTAGGAAAAAAAAATAATAATAATAACTAGATGAGATCTCGTTGCGAGCAACGAGTAGGTCTTCCGTCCGATTTTTCAATAAGATGAGATATGATTTTGACTATGATCTTTGTTGAAAGATAATAATATATAGACTTCCCTAATTAGATTTCATTCTTTTGATTTATATAACATTATCAAAGAGCTATAGATGACAGGCTTTTGGCCCCTCTGAGCCCCTAATTTGAGGAGTCAGCCCCTTTTTCTTGATATCAAATGAAAGATCTTGTGATTTTGAAGACTTTTTGTTCAACAACTATTCAGAGATTTCTTTTCGTTGTGGAGATATGCTGAATGGAAATATTTAGGGGCCACCTCTCCAAGTCCTTAATGGGGCCGTTTGAC